GCATGTCCAAGTATATCCAACCTGATTTCTCCATTGTCAGTCCGGCCAAACTAGGGACTCCATCACTCCCGCTATAAATGTCCATTCTTGTACTTCTCAAGTTCCTTCATAGACTTGATGACCTTCGCTGAACCATCTTGTTCCCTGATCCACACATTTCCATTCCATGTCCATGTCCCAGTAATTTTCTTCTGTTTCCTTAGCATTCTCGCCTCCCTTGCGATTCCTCCATTTTTTTTCGTGAGGTGTTCGTTTATATACAGTTTTTTTGCTTGCATTATTACATCGTTCCTCTGCTTCCTGCAAATGAATCGAATTACTACAGCAGATACAGAGTTCTCAGACTTACTGGGCAATGTGTGGCAAGCAGATATTGCCTCTTTGTGAATGTTTATGTTTTTCCTGTTAAGGAAATCCACCACCTGTTGCTCCAGTGACTGTAGCTCTTCCCTCGGAGAGTCCTCCGTCGTCTCCGCGTTAGCTGTCACCCTTGCGTAGGTACGGTGACGAGTCTTGATTCCAGTAATCACCAAATCGTCCCTCCGCGTATACTGCTCCAGTTCATCAATCCGCTGCTCCATCATAGAGATCCACGCATCCTTTTCTCTCATCATGATTTTCAATGTTGTCACTTCGTCCACAAGTTTGAGCAAGTGCTCCTGTTGCGACGTCACCTTTGCCAGCTCATTAGACATAAAGTTTAATGACCGCTTGATCTCCTCCATGTCGTTTACCGCTGGCATATTTTTAGATTTGTGTTTAATTGTCCGGTTTGCCAAAACTTTAGTGCCGTTAGCTGTATGTGCATCTCCGGGTTGTTAGCACCTTAGCTTAGCATTCCACAAGCTTACAGTAATGACCCCAATGACAATAATTACGTCGTCTAGAAAAGAGCAGTCGGCTTCTCTTAGACCTGGAGTTGGTTGGATCAGGACCTGTGAATCTGCCTAAGGACGGGGGGAAATGAAGTCCTGCTGAGGAGGGACCGTGACGCCGAGAGGACAGGTGGGGCTGTCTGTGGATCAAGTAGGTTTTTGATCGAGTGCTTCATTGACATGACAGTAACAGGAGTGGAAACGCTATTTTGAAACATTTGGTGAGTTTTGGCTCTTTGGAGTTCACAGAAAGAGCCAGACAAGAGTTTGCGCCTCGGCCTGCACATTCTCACGTCCTCGTTCATTTTTATACATGCCACGTGTGTGTGAAAACCACGTAACCATTTTGTGCTTAGGCAGCGTTTATACATGAGGCCCCTGGTCTTGTTCAGCAGGCCCGCCGTTAGGGGGGGGTGTTGATCAGCCTGCAGATCAGCCACCCAGACGAGCAGCAGAGGGAGGCTTCAGCAGACTGGACCCAGCGTGAGGGAGAAGCAGATAAACAAAAGCCAAGAACAATTAAACGCCACAGTGAGGTGGAGAGCTACACACTGCATGCTGGTTAGTGTTGGGGAAGATGTCGGTCTGAGAACGTTCTTAAAATCAGTACGTGGAGTAAACGGCAGCCGCTCTATGTAGACTAACCATGGCAACTGTTCTTGTGCGCTACACAGCTGTAGCCTATTTAATTAAACTTTACCTGATAGGCTCATCTAGTTTTGCGGGGACGCTCTGCCGTGTGAATTCCCTCCTGCTGATGTCCTGATTAAACAGTAACAGATTCTGGAAACTCCCAAACAGCAAGGATCAGTCTCTCTTCCAATGATTTGTGCTGCGTGTCACGTACAAAAAGTTCAATATAATGCTGTTTCTGCTGCTGTCTGATAAAAGACAAATGTTTCTGCTGATACCTGAAAACAGATTTCTATCTGTTCACCTGCTGCTCAGAAGGAGCCTGTTCTGATGTTCTGATCTCTGGACTCTAACTTGTTTTACCAAACTAGATAAAAGGTAACGGCCTGGCAGCGGCAAACAGCTTTGGTTTAATATTTGATTTGATGACATTAATGTTTAAGTTGAGATTTACAAGAAATATTTTTATTGTTACTTAAAGTAACAATAAGCTCCTTATTTGTTAAAAGTGTTTGCAAACCATATGTTATTGCACTTTTGTGTATATAGCAGTACATTTAAATTAAAAGTGGCAATACACTACTTTAGAATTCATTATTAAATTTTATTTGATTAATCGCACTGTACACTGAACAAAATTATAAAGGCAACCCACTTTTGTTTTTGCCCCCATTCATAATGAGCTGAACTCAAAGATCTAAGACTTTCTCTATGTACACAAAAGGCCTATTTCTCTCAAATATTGTTCACAAATCTGTCAAATCTGTGTTAGTGACCACTTCTCCTTTGCCGAGATAATCCATCCACCTCACAGGTGTGGCATATCAAGATGCTGATCAGACAGCATGGGGATTGCACAGGTGTGCCTTAGGCTGGCCACAATAAAAGGCCAAAATGTGCAATTTGTAATGTGTATTTTTGTATTTTAATTTTGTTCAGTGTAGATACTCAACATGTTCATAAAGCACAAAAGGTCAAGTCAGTTTTTATTTATTTCACATTACACTGTGAGCGTTAGATTCCTCCTTTTACCCTAAAACAAGACAAAGAGAAATAAATGCTTTTCAATGATTGGCTGATTAGAGAAAAGTAAAATCAAACATTGAAGAAATTATTGTAAGGCATCATTAAATCAAATTATGAGTGAACAAACGTACCTCATCTGTCAAACTGATGATTCTCTGTATTTTAAACCTCACATTCAGCATTTGGCGAGAAAATTGAAGCTGAAACTGGGTTTTTATTTTAGAAACAAGTGGTGTTTTTCTTTTGAGGCCCATCCAAAGCCTGAAACTGTTGGACACTGTTTACCATGGAGCTCTGAGGTTCATCACGAACTTTAGAGACCTTACTCATCATTGCTCCTTGTGATTGGGTTGGTCGGTCTGCATTGTTAGTCACTGGCACATTCTTATTTACAAGGCTGTTCTTGGTCTGCTTCCACCAGTCCTACAAATCTACATCCAAAAGAAAGGCACAGGAAGATATTGTCTTTGTTCTGAGGACTTATTACTGTTGTCTGTCCCTCATGCGGCTCTCTGTGCTTGGAATCAGCTGCAAAATGTCCTGAATCTTCAGGAGCCGGTTTCACTGGTTGCTTTCAAAGTACTTTTAAATGACATGGAGGCTGGCAATTCTGGCTGTAGATGTTATGATTGATTACTCTGATGATCCTTGTGGTAAATATTTATGAAAGTTTGATATTTTATGATCTCGTATTACTTATTCTCATTCTAACTTATTATATGTTTTAATGTCTGCAGCCCTGTTAGTTGTGCTGCTGACTGTTTTGACCAGGCTCTTGGAAAAGAGATTTTTACTGTCTGTGACTCACAGCTCTAGTGCAGGTCTGCTTGATTACGATCACGGCGTACGCTGGTGTCGCTGACGTTATCAGTTCTACATCTTATCAGTCGTTTTTCACTAAATTGATGTGCGGCGTGAGAGCGTGTCAACAGACTGTGGATGATGTTTTAATGCTCCTTCATGATGGGATAGTGTCAGACCTCAGTGCACTTCTTGAGTTTCATGTTTAAATATCAGGTTTAGAGTTTAAGAGCTCGATGTGCAGTGTAACAGGAACATGTCGGCTATTTTGTCAGAACAATGAATAATCTGGTCAGAACACGTGTGTTCAGGTATGAGTCGATCGTATTTCACGAGCCAGTAGATCGTTGCATATTATGGTTCATAAAGTGAAGTTTAGAAGGTTTCATGTGAAGAAGCAGACAAAGAGATGACGTACCAGAATCAGCTTTTATTGCCAGGTATGTGTACACATACGAGGAATTTGACTCTGGATTGTACATTGTTCACCATGTGCTTACACATACAAAAATACAAAATCACAATAATAAAAACACAATAAAATCAGACAAAGACTTCACACACACAAATATACACACTATGAACGAAAACAATATAGACATATTGACAAATAGTGCAGTGAGCAGAGTGCAAAGGATGCAGGAGTTTTTTTGGGGTATTATTGTACTTGTTAAAGCACTTTGTAACTTGTTTTTGAAAAGTGCTCTACAAATAAAGATTATTATTATGTCGGAGGTGGATGTGATATACAGGTACACATACATGCATACATGTATACATGTACACAGTGCGATGAAGTATAGTGCAAAGAATAAGTATTTTGTGCAGGAGTAATGACTTGAGGTAGGTGGATTTGATATACAGAATCTACAATATGACAATATAACAGTATGAACAGCTCTGAAATAGAGAATGGTGAATAAATAAATAATAAGTGGAAACCAGTAAACAGGTGCTGATTAGAGGCAGAGTTACTGGGTTACTGCACAGGAATTGTTCCTGACACTGTGAGTCAGAAATCAGCTGTTCATCAGAGTGATGGCTTGTGGGAAGAAACTGTTCCTGAGTCTGTTGGTTTTGGCGTACAGTGCTCTGTAGCGCCTACCAGAGGGGAGGAGCTGGAACAGCTTGTGTCCGGAAAATAGCGAAGTGCAGAAATGAAATGTGACGCGTGCAGTAAATTCCTCTCCTGATGTTGAACTAAATATTGATCCTGAATCTGTGAGCATGTGACTAAAAGTGCATGTGGTTGCCTAGATACACATCTGCCACTACAAGGCACATCACTCACACAACTCCATGTTTTATCTTTTTAACCAGTGATTTAATCTTCAGGCTCAAACTTAACTTCCTGTTTTTAGCTGAGCCTCGGTTAGACCAGGACACCAGCTGATCTTATTCAGTCTACCCCCCCACCTTCAGTTCTATGAGTGAAGCTAGCGAGCATCAGAAAGGAGGGGAGCTGCCATTAACTTTAATGTTCTTTTGAATCTGTGGCTCTTCAGCTGAATTCCTCTCCTCCAGCTATATTTCTAAATATCTCCAGGCCACCTAAATACTGTGCAGGTGTTTCAGTGTTTTCACCCTAAACAGCCTTTCATATTGATTTTCTCCCAGATCCAATAAAGAGATCTGAATTCTGACACATGCTGTTTAAAGTCCTACCTGAGCTCCACAGCAGCAGCAGCACCAACAGGTGATCCATGTCCAGGTAGACCGTCTCTCTGGACATCCATGTCCTGCTCTCTGCTCTGATCATCATGTGCTGTCCTCAGTGTATATCTGCATACAGGAAGAGGTGGAGCTTTACTGGAACACAGCTCATTCAGCTGTCTTTAGTTTCACAGTCAAGAGTCCTCGTCTGAGTCTCTGTCACAGGATCAGGGTTTTCTGTCGCCCATGTTTCCAGTTTGACCAGTGGATCAGACAGTGGTCACACTGGTGTCCAGAAGTGTTTAACTCCAGCAGGACAAAGAATGAATGTGGAGGTTGTCCGGAGCTGACGTTAGAGTCCCAGTCTGAAGTCTTCTCCCAGTCCGTCTCTGACTGGTTTCCAGTTAAACAGGAAACTGTCTCTCAGTGCAGGTTCACACCGACCTGGTTCAGCCGGCTGATCCGAACCCTGGAGCGTTCCCCCCCTTATGCTGTTGTTTTGGGTCGGGGTGAAAGCCAGACACGAACTCTGGTTCGGATCAGACAACCACTCTCTGGTTCGCCTTGAAGGGGGGTCTTGGGTCAAGTGAACTCTGGATCAGTTCATTTCTGGTGTGAACACCATTCGAACTAATCAGAGAGAGCGTACTATTGTATGTGTCATTTAAAATAGTACTTCTGATGTTATTCATAATAACAAATGTACAATATACAATAAGAAATGGTACAAACGATATGTGATGTTTAGTCTTGATGAAAGGGCAGCACCGTTTGATATACTGAACGTTTTATGTACGGAGCATGTAGGGCCACATATGCATTCATTCATTCATCCAAGAAGAGACATGTGGATTCTGTAAACAGCCTGCTTTTATCCTTCAGCCTGTTTGCAGCCAACTTTGTGGTTTTTATGTGTTTGCCATTGGTGCCACTTGATGATGTCGACACTGTGGTCTGTAGATTTCCTCTTTTAACTGCATTTCTGTGGAACTGATGAACTTTAGTTTGATAAGAAGCTGCTGACTGATTACAGGCGGGTGTTACCATGCCAACCAGAGCAGGCTGAGGCGTTGCTATCAGATTAAAGCGGTCAGCGTCTTCTTCTTCTTCCTGCTAGATGTGTCTGAGTTCAGTGTTTCAGTGTGGCAGTTTGATTGTGAGTGCTTGTATCATTGGCTGTATATCTGGGGTTGGCTTGGAGCCAGATTTGGGCAGTCTCCATCCATGATGATTAATATCTGATTGAAGTCAGTGTGTCACTCCTTGTTGATGTGTTTGTTTTGCCCAGGGACTTTGTTCCCACTTCTGGCCTGGCCATAAATACCAAACAGGCCAAAGAGAAGTGGAACGAGCTGAAAGACAAGTCCAAGGTGACCTGCCTGTGTCTCTGCTTTGTATTATATAGCCAGTGGCTTCCTGAGAGGCAGTGGCCAGAGGAGAGGAGAGGGAAAGGGCAGCCACAGCTCCAGCAGAGAGAGACCACTTATCTTACCATCACATAGTTGAGGCCCCTGGCATCACAGAGGCCCTGCAGCAGCACTAAGGGGAAAGGCTTTCTGTTCACACAGCATTTCTTCTGTGGCTCTGCAGGAAGAAGAATCCTCAGGGATGCAAACTCGTCACCTTTCCGGTGAGATTCGCCTCTCAAGAGATTTCAGAGCCAGAAGTGTCCTTGGCCAGAAACAAAGGATGTCAGCGGGAGTCCCTCGCATCCTTTCCATGATGCTGTCAGACACCTGGTATAACAGTCTGAGCCTGTCCGCGCCAAAAGGAAGCACTTTCTGTGGACGCCATTTTGAAGGGCGAGAAAGGGATCCAGGGCAGGAAGTGAAAGGCAGAATGGAGGAGATGGAGCAAAGCCCGTACTGTGCTGGTTATTGTTTCCTCATTCTGTCGTCCCAGGCATCATGTGTGAAACCTGGAGTCGCTCAGTTCATTCTGAAATTATGGCTGAAAACCTCTTTGGAGGTCACACTGACCTTTGACCTTTGAGAAAGTGTCACCTACTCAGTGTGAAAAGCAAAGAGAAATTCTGCTGAAATAAGCGACTTCCTTAATTACTAAATGATTCAACGTGATTATGAAAGAAGATAAAACCTGAATAAAAAATGAAGGAAATTCCTTCAAAGCTAAATTATTCTGAAATACACCAAATGAATTCCAAAAAGGTGTTTTTGCTCCCATTTGTATAATCGTGCTGGTTTTTAGTCAGATCTGAGCTAAATGTGCTCCTGCTGCCAAACCATCGAAGGAACAAATGTTTTCAAGGTCCTGGAGGAGGAAATCTTTCTCTCTACAGAAAATGAGCCATGTCGACCACAAGGGGGCGCTAAAGGAAAGTCAGAAAGTTCATGTCTGTCTAACCAGATGAAGCTGGAGTCAGAACAGCCTCTGATTTTTAACGTTGGACTTTTTCTACTCGCTACACGAATCTGATCTCTGTGTTTCTGTATTTTTCTCCAAACTGCACCAAATTAGCGTCAGCGGCCCTCGATGCCTCCAGATCTACAGATCCAGCAGCAGGAGGCTCTGGGACACGTTTCTTCTCTGATCTCAGGATTCACTTGTTCACGTGTCACCAGATGTGATTTGCACATCGAGTGTTGTGAAACCAAATTCAGAGGATCTGTGCCGACGCTTCACTTTTATTTGAATTTAATATAGAACAGGACTCGGCCGACATTGTTCCAGAAGGACTTCCAGATCGGCCTGGGTCGGCGCGGCTTTGCTTCTGAATTGTGCCGGGTGTTTGGACCCCGATACTTAGTTTTAAAATGAAACTATATATTTGTGAGGACTTTTTAAAGAGTGGCGTCTTCAGAAGGAACCAATGGGCTTTGTAGCGACAAGCGGCCCTTCTGCAAGGAAACCCCGCTCTCTCGGGTCACCAACTCCGGGCGCCCTTAGCGCATTATGACTTCAGATAGCACTCAGGAAAAAGGGCGACCTCTGATAACGAGCTAGTTTCAGTACTAGGTACTGGCCTGAGCGTCTGTACTGAATGTCTGACTCCAGATTCAGAAGTTTCCTGGTCAGCCACTTCACTCCTCTCTCACTTTAGGTTGCAGAGAGTAGGGCCCTGAACACATCACCTGGAAGGAGTTCCTTAAAGGAGCAGTTTGCTGCTGATCTGTAATGAGCTGTGTTAATGTCGGCAGTGTGGATGTTAAAGTAGAAGAATACTAACTTACCAGTCCGGAAGAGGAGGAAGAAAATGAAGACAAAAAGAGACGAAAAACTCTTTCTAGTTTCTTCAGGCGTGCACCCAAAGAGAAACTGATTTATTTTCAACAAAGGCAAAAACAGAAGCCCCCAAAAGTTCCCCCTTTTTCTCCTCTTTCGCCCCTTCTTCTTTATTTTCCCCTAATTCTTCTTGAGCTCTGGGGTCAGCAACTGAAATAATAATGGGGAGGAAGGACCTCAGCCCTTTTCCAAACGTTCATTGGCTGCTATAAGTTAGCCATCACACTGATTGGTTCTTACATTCTGACCTCACATCCTTCCTCTTCTTTATAGGTACCGTACACTTCCTGCCAGTAGTTGCAACACCCCTTTGCTCTCGTCACAAATGAACAAGAAAAATATAAAACGCATCATGTAGATTCAACAAACTGTGATTGTGTAATCTTCTCATTTCCAAAGCATCCAGAGCAGATACAGCAGGTCTCAGTTTAAAAACAAGACTAAATGAGCATTTCTTCTCTTCTACATCTTAAATGCATCACACAAATGAAAATCACACACAAGAAGCAGAAAAGACATCAATCATGGGTTGTCACCACCTTTTTTAAAGAAAAACCTTCCTTCTGTTCTTTAATCTCAAAATGATGTTGCTTTCATTTTCACAGTGGCTGCTGACGTTTAGGCAAATAGTGCCTTCTTTCCTGATTAAAATGATTATCTTGATGTCATAGGGAATGCATACATGAGACGTCCTTACAGAAGACAAGTCTTAACGTTGACTAAAAATGATAGAAGCGTAAAAAGTAAAACTCTTGACCTTCCCCTCTGCATCACACCTTTTTTCACACCTCCCCTCATGTGCGCTAGATACACAAATGCGTCGTCAGGGACGCTTTAGCTTTTGGTTTAATTTACAGCAAAAGAGTGGACCTTAGCTTCCTCTGTACTGGAAACTAGCGTTATTTTGAGACTTGAGACATGTCTGTCCGTACCCAGACAAAGGTTTCTAGAGGCAAAGATGAGGTCCGGCACAAGAGATGCAGAGATACAGGACTTATTAAAGAAATAAAGACAGCATCTCAAATTAAACATCTTTCTTCAAATGTTCTACTTTTGTAATATGAGCTCAGCAGTTAACCATTATCACTCTGAAAGCAAAGGCAAATCATGTTACTATATGGCTTGTAAATGTGTCAGGCAGTCAAACTGTGTCTGTGAAGGCCCCCCAAGAACCAGAACCAGAGGCTTATCCATCAGTAGAAAAGAGTAAAATCCTGGACTGAGCTGATGGTGGGTTGTGAGGCAGCTGAGATGAGCTCCTTGGAGGTCCTACTCTGCTCCCTGAGCTCCTTCCTCTTCAGCTGCAGAAACACCCGGGTTATAATAATCCAGCTCGATGTCCTCCTGCCTGCCCGGCTTCTGCCCCCTGCTGGCCTGGAGAGACATGACAGCACACACATGTGAGTTAGTGCATCACTCCTCCTCTTCTTCAGGTCAGTAAACACAGAGCGAGTGCTTCATCTCAGGCCTCTAAACAACAGACGTGTGTCAGTACCTTACGGTAGAAACAAAGGGCAGCGATCACCAACAGCAGAGTCAGCGGCAGGACGACCACTTTGATGAGAAGACCTGTTGGATCTGATCAAACGCATGGACAGACATCACATCACACACCATCATGAGTCCATCAGCTCCCATTAAACACAAACTGTAGAGACCTGAAATCTCCCAAAACCACTTCAGTCCGTCAGGAATCTCTATCAACACATATCTGAACGCAGAATCTGGAGAAACAAGCAGAGCCGTCGCAACCAGAGAAGAAGTTCAACTGCCTAAAGCCTCCAGCTGAAAGGGGGTCCTCGAGAAGGGCTGATTATGTAGGCCT